TTTTTTTTTTTTTTTTCTCTTTCCCCTGCCTGAAAGGGGCTATTCTGCTTGAATTTGTGGAAGCTACTGTGGATCTGATCCTGCCTTTTAAGGGAAGCCAGTAGGGGACTCAGTTGTACAAATAGAGCAGAATTGGGCGCTAAGAAAATAAATAAGGGGGTTGCCTTGGGATATTGGGGATTCTTTGACTTCTCGCAGGGAAAAGATGGTGCCCGGTGGAAATATGCTGGAAAAAAGGATGGTTCATGGGGGGGTGGGCTGTTGGGTAGAGTATTTTAGAAGTAATACCCTAAATTCTATCATTTATCTGCTTCATGCAGCAAGTCTCATGCTTTAGAGAGCTTCTAATCCAGCCAGCCCTGGGCTGGGAGGAACAAGCTGAGCCTGAATCCAAATCTACATTTCTTTGACATTAGAAGAGGGGGACAACTCTCTGGGGAAAGATGAGCTGCACGACAAGCTCCTCTGCTTCAAACTGAATGAATTTTCATGAGGAAACACTCTGCTGATCACTCCTGACTGGCAGATTGGGAGGGGAAGCTGCTCTGTTTAGAAAGCCAAGGAGAGTTCAGTAGGATGAAAACGTCCAGACTGTGACATTTTTCTTCCAGAAAACTCTCCTTGCCACTGTTTGGTTTAATATTTGGACTGCAGGAGAGATGTGAGATCAGGATTTCCCAGTCTAAATTCACAGAATCCCAGCACAGTGGGGGTTGGAAGGGACCTCTGGGGATCATCTCACCCACCCCCTGCTCCAGCAGCTCACCCCCAGCAGGGTGCCCAGGGTCACAGCCAGGAGGGTTTGGGATCTCTCCAGAGCAGGAGACTCCACAGCCTCTCTGGGCAGCTGCTCCAGGCTCTGCACCCTCACCCCAAACAAGTTTCTCCTCCTGCTCAGGTGGCACCTCCTGGGTTCCAGTTTGGGCCCCTTGTCCTGTCACTGGCACCACTGAGCAGAGTCTGGCCCCAGCCTCTTGCCCCCCGGGGCCCTTGAGCTCTTGCTCAGCACTGCTCAGATCCCCTCTGAGGCTTCTCCTCTCCAGCTCAGCAGCCCCAGGGCTCTCCGCCTGGCCTGGCACAGAGATGCTCCAGCCCCTCAGCAGCTCCACAGCCTCTGCTGGACTCTCCCCAGTAGCTCCTGCTCTCTCTGGAACTGGGGAGCCCAGCACTGGGGCTTGACTTATGCTCAACTATCTAAATAATTAATAATAAGTAATAATACATAATTCCTAATTGAAAACGATGCTTGGCTATTTAAAACCTGCTTCTTGCACCTTCCCCTCGCCCAGTCCATCTGGGTTTGTGGTCTCAGAGCCCTGCAGTCCCCTGCTCACCCCCTTTGCCCTGTGTTCCCTTGCAGGACTCCCTGCTGTGTTTGTGACAGCGTGGGCCAGCGTCAGAGCCACTCTCGCCGACACAGAGTAAGTCACCCTGAGTCTTCCTCTCTCCCTTCTACCTCTGATGTTTTTGGTTTTAGGGTTTTTTTTGGCTACTTTGTGGGTCAATTGAAAGGGTGAAAGGAAGCAGGGAAAGTCTGAAGGGATTTCTGCCAGGAGGTTAGCCAGCGTTTGGGGGGTTGTGTGGTGCAGGAGGATGAGGTGGGTGCAGCTCTCCTGGCTTTCCTTTGGACAGCATTTGAGTGTGGACCTCTGCAGACACTGTCCCTGGGGCTGGAGTGGACTGCTGCAGAGCCAGGCAAGGCCAGCACAAGGATCTTCAGAGCCTGGAATCATGGAATCATGGAATCATAAAATCATAGGATGATTCTGGATGAAAAGACCTTCAAGATCATCAGGTCTAACTCAGCACAGCCAAGTCCACCACTGCCCCATGTCCCTCAGCCCCACACCTACACAGTTTTTAAGTCCTTCTGGGGTTGAGGACTCCACCACTGCCCTGGACAACCTGGTAAATCAGAGAACCACAGAATCACAGAGTCCTGGCATGGCTGGGGTTGGAAGGGACCTCTGAAGAGCATCTCCTCCAACTCCCCTGCTCCATGGTATTCATGGTGTGAAAGCCAGCAGGACTTGGGCAGGAATTGTCCCCATTGTCCCCCTGGATTCAACACTGGGGAGGCTGCCCCTTATATCCTGGGGTCAGTTTTGGGCCCCTCAGTCCCAGAAAGACCTTGAGGGGCTGGAGCGTGGCCAGAGAAGGGCAACGGGGCTGGGGAAGGGTCTAGAGCCCAAGTGTGGGGAGGAGCAGCTGAGGGAGCTGGGGGTGCTGAGCCTGGAGCAAAGGAGGCTCAGGGGAGACCTGCGGGAGCT